CATACCCATGGGTTTATAACTATCCAACCCATTTGGGTTGGGTCTGAAATCCAATTAAAGTGTAAATGGATAAAGTTAGATGGGTCAATACCCATACCCATTATGTTGGGTTTAATTGGGTTTTACCCATGAACTTGGGTTAAAAAATCCAAACCCAAATAATTAAAAAAAGAAAAACGAAACTAAAAAGAAAAATAAGATTAATCAGAAGAGCTCGCTAGCAAACTCATCCAACGGCGTGCCTTCATCCCTACTATTAGCACACTTTCCAGCCAGCTCCCGGACCTCCGCCGGACTCCTTCCGAGCGCCAGCCCGACCTTCATCGCGAACACCTCACCATTTTCTCTCTCCTCAAATCCCGATTCGCCGAGAGTGGAATCGATCGATTCCTCGAGCTGATCGAAAAACCCGGCGCAGTTCCTGTACATCTCCACCACCATCCCGATCTGCCCGCCGTGCTCCACTGGGACTAGCTCCGACGTCGCCGCCGCCCAGTGCTACCAAGCTTCGACGTCGCCGCCGCTATAGCTGATTCCGTTGACTCCCGCTATAGCCGCTCCACCGTTCGCCTTGGTGAGCTTAGCAGCAGCTGTTTCGTCCACCACATCAAACAAGCGTACTAAGGCAAACACAGCGGGAAGGTAAATTCAGTTGAACCCAATTGCTTGTTTTGTTCTCCGGTGGGTTCATTTTTATCCAAACGAACTGATTGATTCTACCCAGAAGTTAAGAACAAGAGAAACTGAGAAACGTATGCATTTCTGTTCCAATTAAATGAGTCAACCCCTTAACCAACCATGGCGTCTCCTCCGATAACATCGTTTACCATCAGCTCGACGTGACAGACAGCTCCAGCATCTCTTCTCTTGCCGATTTCATCAAAACCCAGTTTGGGAAACTTGACATCCTGGTTGGTACTACCCCCAATTTGACCAGTTCCGTAACAACTCCTTTCGACGCCACCAATCCCAACTATCCCGGCGACTCCAATCGGCACACGCTGCAGGAGAGCCTTCCCAGCCTTCTCCGCCACGGCATCCGCGAACAGCACCACTACCCACTGCTTAAACTCCTCCGCTCCCAGCGTCATCGGCTCTTCCTCCGGCGCCTCCGCCTCCTGTTGGGCCGGGTTCTTAGTGGCTCGTCGGAGGGTTTCTACGACCTTCAGAGCTGAATCCACTTGGGCCTGGATCGGCGGCGTGGGGACCCAATTGACGATGAGTGGAATTTTGTTAGTGGTGGTGAGGATGGAGTGGATTTGATCGGAGGCAGTCGGGAGTTGGTAGGGAAGGACGCCTGGGAAGCCGATTCGCAGGTGGCGGTGAACGCCGATGAGCTGCTGAGAGTGGTTTCCGCCTGCTTCGATTAGCCTCTGCTTTCAGCGGATGAAAACAGAGGAATTGCCGCCGGAATCGGGTTCGTCGGCGGAAAGGCGGCCTGATAGCGGGTAGTACGAGGACAGAGCAAGGGAGAAGCTCCACGACGAGGGGAAGCTCGGGGACTTGGCCGAGCTCAAGGACACGGAATCGGCGCCGGCATTCGGCACCGGCGAAGCAGCTGGACTTGGCCAAAGTTACATTTTAGTACCTGAAGTTTTTAAGAAGATACAAATAGGTTCAACATCATATGTGGAAAATTATATTTTAGTACATTAAAATTTTTGCTTTACATTTTAACACCTAATAAAAAAAATATATACAGGTGGGTCCAAGGAGATGGGTACCCAAGCCCAATCCATACCCAAAAATAAAATCCAAACCCAACTCCACCTACCCAAACATTATCCAAATCCATATAGAATAAATCCATACCCAACCCATATAAATGGATATAAATGGGTTTGGGCAAAAATAGGGATGAGATACCGTGACAACCCCATTAGGGGTTGTGAGATTGACAACCCATTTTATAACCATAGAATTCATTCTCTCTCTCTTGTCTCTTTCTTCTTTTTTTCAAATCAATGGTACATATTGGATTAAGGGTATTTTTGGACGAAAAAATTGACCACACTAGATTATTACCCTAATTAATACCTAAAACCATACACTCTCTCTTTCCTCTTCCTCTCTCTCTCTCTCTCTCTCTCTCTCTCTCTCACGCCATATTTCTTCTTCCTCCCATCTATTCCCTCTCTCTATCGACTGCCACCACTGCCGTCGTCGCAGCCCTCCTGTCGATCGGCCGCGCCCTTCGCCTCTCGTCACTGCCGCAGCCCTCCCGTCGTCGCGCCCTCCGCCTCCCAGCACCGTCAGGTCCCTCCCACCGCAGCCATCGCGGCCTCCTCCTCCCACCATCGCCGCGCCATCACCCTCTCCCCGTCGCAACCTTCCCGCCGCCCTCTGTCTCCCATCACCACCGTCGCCACGAGGGTCACCGCCTCTCCCCTGCCTCCCCCTTTCCTCATCCCTGATTTTTTTTTATTCCAGATCTGTGATTTTTCATATTTCAGATCTGATTTTTTTGCGTTAGTCTCTAGTGGTACGCTACCAGTGGCACTGGTACCGCTACGAGTGGTACTGGTACTGGTACTGCTAATGGTACCCCTATCAGTGGTACTGGTACTGCTAATGGTACCGCTACAAGTGGTAATGGTACCGTACCACTAGCCCTGATAGCGTACCACTAGTACTAGTAGCGTACCACTACTGCTGATAGCGCTACCAGTGAGTAGTGGTATCATACCAATACCAGTGGTAGCGTACCACTAGTCGAAAATCACTACCACTAGCGCACTGCCGAAGTGGTACTTTTTTGCAGGTGGCCGGAGTGAGTCTGATCGGAGGATTTGACCGGGAAAAAGTCTGCCGGGCGGAGAAAGTTTGGCGGTCAAAGCGGAGAGGCTGCTGGAAAAAAAAAGAGATAGAGAAAGATACAAGTGAATTAATTGTAGGGTTTAATTTTTTTTTTTAAAAAGGCATGTATTTAATATGAGTTTTGAATTCTCAATCTGTAATTAATACAAAATAATTAATCAATAAATTCATTTTTTTTCATACCCAAAATACCCTTGGTTGTCAATCTGACAACCCCTTAGGGGTTGTCACCGTATCCCGTCCCGGCAAAAATACCCATGGGTGGGTAAGGGGTCGTTTGGAAGTTGCGATTGTTAAATAGATGTATTGTTGAGAATGCATGTATACTATTATACATGTATTGTCGAATTTGATGCATTATAGAATACAACGTTTGGTATGTGTAATTGTGTATGTCGCATCAGCTAAAAGCTGAGACAAAACAATCTCAACTCAACTATCTCAACAATCACAACTAAAAGTTGAGATATAACAATCACTCAAAATGAGTGATAGTTTCTGTCACATCACAGAAACAATCCATGTATTGTTTCTGCTAAAAAAACAAAAAAAACGATGCATTGTAAACAATACATGCATAATGACAATCTCAACAAAACAATCGCAACTTCCAAACGACCCCTAAATTGCCATCCCTACTCAAAAGTACTGTCAATACTATTACTCATTATTTTACCATAGCAACTTTAACCATAAATAAATCCTACCAATTTATTGTCAATGAGTTTTTTTACAGGTATTCATTGTTAAAATTTTCGAGGTCAAAGAGTATCTTTATACCTCTTCAGGAATTCAATCCACCGGTTATATATCGATACTTCGACTGTTCAAATAATTATCTCAATATTGGTGATTATAATCTTACAAATTACGAGAAAGAGAGTGAATATTAAAAAAAATATTGAGCACTAACGTGAAGAGTAAGATAAAGAGAATAATGATCCATATTAATTTAAAATTTAATAATAAAAACATGAATTAAAAATTGAGAAAAGTACATACTTGATCATATAAATTGATTGCTAATGTTCTAGAAGAGACTAATCAAATGGAGCCTATAAAATTATTTTGAAGTTTAGAAAACACTACTCCATGACCATTTATTGCACCAAGCATAACCAATGATATACACTCATTTTACATATTGATTTTGATCCATGATTCTAAAGTTGTGTTTATGTTATTATGCTTTTTAAACACGGATTCACAAACACTATTAGACCGTCAATAGATTACAGATTCACAAACACGGTGATAAATCAAAACTTGTAATACGGGGAAATTACCGATTGTTGTTGTTGTGGTCAATTCTCAATTCCCCAAAAAAACAAACAAAAGCAGAACATTTAATTTGAGGACAGAGCCAAAACAGCCTTCAGAGGTACGTGTCATGAGACCTTGAATGCGTTGGCAGACGGAGAGCCCGCGAGCTCACAGTAGTGACCCTGCTCCCTCCAGCACTTGAATTAGCGTATTGAACCGGTTGGTTTTTTCTGAATAGGCCAGTCTGTCGTCTTCCCTTGTTGCTGGCTTGCTGCTGCTACACAACCGTTCTCTCCCCGTTTCGGCCACACACAAAATCACAAACTTTGCTCTCCCCTGAAGGAATTCCGATCCCCCTTCTCCCTCTATCCAGTTTTTCTATTAAAAGTTCGGTCCTTTTTGTGATACATGGGATGGCGAAGCCAGATATAGTCATATAAATATGCTTTATCTGGTGCTATTGGATACTGCTGCCTGGTTAATTGGGGCGTGAATCCAGTTTTTGGATTCTCGTCTTCCGGGGGGAAGAAAAGAAGAAGAAATTCTATTTTTCTTCTTCTGATTGTCTCTCCCCCTTCTGCAGGTATGCTATTTTCTGGATTCTCTTTGATATCGTGTTTGCCCTATTGGGTCGCACTAAATTCTGTTTGTTTTTGGGGAAAAATGGGGAGAAACTTGTTGCATAAGTTTTTGTTGTTGTTGTTCGCATGTTGTGATGCGCTTCTTTTCTGATTGGCGGATGATAGAATTTGTTTTGGATGCTAACAACATTTGGTTTATGATAGAATTTGTTTCTTAATGGTTTGGCGGTGGAATGTGTTTGATTGGTTGCGATTTGTTTTTGGTGGTCAAATGTTTATTGAACTTTTCGACAATGTAAATCAAGAATATCGGGCCGTGATTGAATCTTTGATCCAGGGACTGGATTCTGAGGTTCTGTGCGGTTCATGCAAATCTGAGGGGAGAGACCTGCTGATTGATATGGAGCTTTGATTCTGCTGCTGGTTCTGAGATCGTGAAAGTTTGGACTACTTGGGCGTTCTCTAGGTACCACTGAAAATCATTTGGCCTTCTTTGCGGAAGGCTAATTCGCGTAGATGACGAGTTATTTAGGTGTTCAAGTCTCTGATCCAACGCTGCAGAATCAGTTCACTCAGGTGGAGCTTCGTAGCCTCAAATCTAAAGTAAGTCCCTTTTTGTTATCCTCAGTGTTTATCTGTTTGAATGCCGGCGTTTTGTCCGCTGGAATCATCCTCCGATGGAAAAATGTCATTTCAAGTTCTTTTGATCCAGCTTGACTTTTAATGTTATTGATGTTTGTTCCTCCCCCTCCCTTAATTCAGTTTACCGCAGTAAAGAACGAGAAAGGTAAAGTTACAATTGGAGATTTGCCATCTTTGCTGGTGACATTAAAAGCCTTTGCTTCAACATTCAAGGAGGAAGAGGTTGCAGGCCTCTTAGCTCAATCCTTTCCTGACTTGACTGTCGATATAGACTTTGAAGGGTTTCTCAGGGTGAGCTGCTCTCATTTTCATAACCTTGCCTTCCCTTTTATACTTGCTTTTGTGAACCAACTTATTATCGTCTGAAGTCTCATAATGTCCATTTGAACCACCCTATTTGGCATTTGAATTTCAATAAATAGGAACTGAACAGTGTGATTGGTATATTGTAGTTTGTTTCCAAGGAAAAGGATATACTCTTTCTTTGCTTACGAACTCGGAATGTGACAGGTGTACTTGAATTTGCAAGGTCAAGCTAATGCTAAATCAGGGCATTCAAAAACAGCCTCAGCATTCCTCAAGGCATCAATAACCACTCTGCTTCACACTATTAGCCATTCTGAGCGAGCATTATATGTAGCTCACATAAACAGTTACCTTGAGGATGACCCATTTCTGAAGCAGTTTCTTCCCTTGGATCCAGCGACAAATGATTTATTTGATCTTGCGAAGGATGGAGTTCTTCTATGGTTAGTTGATTTGGCAATTTCATTGGTACTTTTGTTGCTGTATTACCTTGAACTTAATCATCGTCTTCATTTTGGTTTTTGTTCAGTAAGCTTATCAATGTTGCTGTTCCTGGGACTATTGATGAGCGGGCAATCAATTGTAAAAAGATTCTTAACTTGTGGGAGAGGAATGAGAACCACACCCTTTGCCTCAACTCTGCAAAGGCTATCGGTTGCACAGTGGTTAACATTGGTACACAGGACTTGGTGGAAGCAAGAGTAGGTTTAATCTACCTATAGGTTTTTATGCTATAAACTAGGTCTGATTTGTGGTAATCAGAAGATTTGTTGCTAACATAATTCCAATGATTTTGCAGCCTCATCTTGTGCTTGGTCTAATTTCTCAGATTATAAAGGTTAGACTTCGGCTTTTTTCTTCATTGCAAATTTGCATATCGCGAGTTATAACTTATAAGGCTATGGGGTAGCTGGCAGGTGTTAGAAATTAATCATTTAAAACATTACTCTAAATTACTTTGCATATTTTCTCGATTTGGGTGTTAATGTCTATGGACTTAAATTCTTCACTCTGGTGTTCTCAGATTCAATTGTTAGCAGATCTCAACCTCAAGAAGACACCTCAGCTTGTGGAATTGGTGGAGGACAACACTGTAATGAAATACATAATTGAGGACCGTTAATTTTTTTCTCCCCATTTGCATTGTTCAGCAAATCAATCTGAAAAATTGTCCACTGAAAAATTTATCTCTCAGGATATAGAAGAGCTCATGAGCTTGGCCCCTGAAAAGCTCTTATTGAAATGGATGAATTTCCATCTGGGCAAAGCAGGCTATGAAAAACGTGTTTCAAACTTCTCTTCCGACTTGAAGGTACTAGCAATATCATTTTATATCTATTCTCTAGCAACAAATATGCACAGGTGACATGACTCCTTTTCTTCGTTTTTGGGAAAAATGCCTCAATTGTTCTGTTAGTCATGCTCTAGGAGATGCATTGAAACTCTTAGAACTTTAGGCACATGTATTAGTTGATGCCTGATTGTCTCTTCAGTACCAAAAAGTAGTCTTTTTCTATGAATACTACATCCTCCAAATACTGAGTACCCCAATTGTCTGCTGACATTGAATCTTGCCATTCTCTGAAAATTATGCTTGTGGTGATTTTTTCATGGCCGAACTTGTAGGATGGAAGGGCTTATGCCTACCTTCTTAATGTTCTTGCACCAGAGCACTGCAATCCAGCTACATTGGACGCTAAGACTGCGCTTGAGAGGGCTACACTAGTACTTGATCATGCTGAGAAAATGGGCTGCAAACGGTATTTGAAACCAACTGATATTGTTGAAGGCTCATCAAATCTGAATCTTGCCTTTGTAGCACAAATATTTCATCGAAGGTGAGGGACACTGACTCTAAGGGCCTTACTTTCTGAACTGTTGGGTATATGTTACTATTACGCTGAGCATGTATACTTTTGTAAGAAATTAAGTGAGGTGGGCTCATTCATATGAATGCGTTGTAGAGATATATACACCATCTACATTGCATCAGTGGTGGTGTTTTAGAGTAAATGTAGAGATATATACACCATCTACATTGCATCAGTGGTGGTGTTTTAGAGTAAATGTATCAGCATAGTTACTGTAGTCTGTGTACCAATGCTTTCTAGAGACTTTGTGTTCCCTAATCATGTGGTAGTTGGAAAAGGGACCTGTTGGCTGTGGTCCAATGTGTTTAAAAATGCTGCTTTAGCTCTTGGTAATTGCTCCATGCAGGCAAATGCACACATTCACACAAACAAGTGGTGGTTCCATAGTCGGAATTGATAGTAGCTACAATTAAGTTTTGATGCATTTATGCTGAAAATATCCCTCAACCCAACTGACCTGGTTGATTAGGGTCACGGCATTTTAATCATTTAAGCATTTTTGTTATTCTGAGTCATCATGAAATATTTATGCTATCTTCTTCTTGATAACTTTGTAGGAGTACCATAGTCTATGCTCTTTATGGTTTCATGTTCATGCCATTTTTTTCCTTTGGTCAAAAAGCTTTTCTGATCGTGCTATTTCCTTCCCCCCAAAAATTATGATTGAAATGAAATTTGCATCTTACTATTGCAGGAGTGGCCTGAGTACAGATGGCAAAAAGTATGCTTTTGCAGAGATGATGACAGATGATGTGCAAACATCCAGAGAAGAGAGATGCTTTAGATTGTGGATCAATAGTCTTGGAGCTACCTATTGTAACAACGTGTTTGAGGATGTTAGGAATGGGTAAATTTCCCCTCTCTTGTTCAATCTACTGGTGTTCACATGGTACAATTTGCAGATGTTCAGTCTCTTTTTGTTACCTTTTGAGGCAATGTTTCTATAGTACGGATTCCATTTTGGTGTATTGGTATCTTTTTAAGTTTCAACTTATGTTTTTTCTTTTCTTGGAACAGTTTTTGCATTTTGGTTTGGCGGTAACTTGGATTCTGGAACATTATGCTTGCAGGTGGATACTTCTTGAAGTACTTGACAAGATTAAACCCGGATCAGTTAACTGGAAGCATGCCACAAAACCTCCCATCAAAATGCCATTCAGGAAAGTGGAGAATTGCAATCAGGTCATAAAGATTGGGAGGCAGTTGAAGTTTTCACTTGTTAATCTAGCTGGCAATGATTTTGTGCAAGGAAATAAGAAACTCATACTCGGTAAATGTCCATGGTCTCTTCACTTTTCATGCTCTCCCTGAGTTTAGTACCTATGATTAATGTCGCACTGAATCTGAAGATTCTTAGTTCTTTTTCAGCTTTCTTATGGCAATTGATGAGATATTCCATGCTTCAACTTTTGAAGAACTTGAGATCACACTCTCAAGGGAAGGAAGTAACTGATACAGATATCTTGCATTGGGTGAATAAAAAAGTTCGAAGTATGGGGAGAACTTCCCGGATTGAAAATTTCAAGGTTAATAAAATAAAAGTTATCCACTTTTTACCCCCGTCATCAGTTGACATATGTTAGCTGACGTGTGCTGACTTTATAAAAATATGGAAATTATTGCCAGGATAAGAGCATATCAAATGGGATATTCTTCCTTGAGCTTCTCAGTTCTGTGGAACCCAGAGTTGTAAACTGGAACCTTGTCACGAAGGGCGAAAGTGGTAATCACTAATGACCATTTTTCCCAGCTATTCTGCATTGTGAATGCATGTATTCTGCATTTTTAGTAGTAGGACATTGACAGCTTTGGTTATCATCATCTTCTTTCCCCACTTCAATACAACAGATGACGAAAAGAGACTGAATGCTACATACATTATCAGCGTGGCCAGGAAACTTGGCTGTTCCATTTTCGTGTTGCCAGAAGACATTATGGAGGTAACACTGCTTTCTTTTGTATAGAACTGTTATTACTGAGGGAAATCTCTTGTTAGGGGTGGAATTAAGGTCAGCCAAACTTATCTCCGAGTTTGGTTGCAGGTGAACCAGAAGATGATTCTGACGCTAGCGGCGAGCATTATGTACTGGAGCCTCCAAAAAGCAGTGGAAGAAGGGGAGTCGCTGTCCCCGGCACCTTCCAGTTGCAACACATGCAACGCTACACCTGATGCATCCCCGGCCCCTTCAGTTTGTGGTGAAGATGAAAGCTCTTCCATCGCCGGTGATGTATCAAGCTTGACCATCGACGATGCCGCGTCAGACACCACAGTTTCCTCGTCGCCTTTTGACAATGAGGAAGTCACCTCTGCAGGAGGCGAGTGATCCCAACCAGAAAAACAAAAATATGTAAAAAGAAAAGAATCTCAAACTGAAGTCAAAACGGGTTTTGTGATATACAAGGCAATATACATGTGCAGTAGAAAGAAAAAGTGTTGAAAGTCCATGATATCATCCCTTCAGTCAGAATCACAAAAGGGAAAAAATGAACAGGGAGGGAAACATGGGGATGAAGAAAAAGGGGTAATACGATTTTGTAGTTGCATTTCAACTCGTGAAAGAATATGACAGAACAAGTTTGGCTTCTTTTCATTTGCAGAGTAGGATTGTAACATGCATCATTCTTTGGACATGATTGAACTTGTCGTCAGCACCTTAATAAACTCGGAATTCTCCGGTTTCTTCGCTTACAAGAAACAACAATGGAATGAAGGATACCAAAGAGAGAGTCAGTCACATGACTCAAACTTGGAACGTTGCGATTGTTCAACCCTTGCACATTCTATCCCTGCTTCGATCAAGGTTTCTCGTTGTGTTGGATCTTCAAAGTGTCGATGTAAGCCTTGCCGTCAAGCTGGCGGGAAAAGAGGCCATTGTAGAACTCTCTGATTGTCACCACCTTGAAAAGAGCCGGTGTCTCTTTTGTGATCAAGCTAGCAGCAGGCCCGGTTTCACCATCATACCTTGGAGAATGGAAGCAGGCAATCGAGAGCCTTTCCTTATCCGAATTCACCAGTGCACGGTGCTCGATGCTACGGTATGCTCCATTGGTTATGATCTGCTTACACAACCAGAAATTGTTCAGCACATACAGAAGTAAAGAACTTCCCATTGTATGCACAGCTTTTAGTATTTGAGTTCCTTCACCTCTAGAATGTCACCAACATTGACCACGAAAGCATTGGGAATTGCCTTGACAGGAACCCATCTTCCATCTTTCTTTATCTGCAGACCATCCACTTGACCTACTTGCAGAAGGACGGTGAGACCAGTGCCATCCGAATGAGGAGTCAGCCCCATAACTCTCTCTGGCTGGGGGCATGGAGGGTAGTAGTTCATCCTCATCGTCTGCCTCACGTTCTCGTAAAAATCCTTCATTTCCTCGTCCCCTTCGATCTTCAAAGCCTTTCCAACATGTTTCAGGATGGTGGAGGCCAGATTCTTCACCTCCAACGAGTACTGCTCTACAGTATCCCTACACACAAGAAAATCACTCGAACGAGGCTTAAAGTCGAATCGTTTTTTATCCGCGAGTTTGAAATCTATGCAAACCTGAAAGGAAGAGGGAGGTTAGGGAGCAAGTGAGGCTTCCTCAGATAGGGTGGCTGGGTGACCAAGTAGAAAATGTCACTCCAGTCCAGCTTTTGTTCCTCGGAGACCACAAACGTCTGTCCAAACCCTTCAACCTCTCCTGGAAACTGCCACAGCTTCTTCTTCTCCTCCATTGGCAGATTGAAGAATTCCTGAACCTGTGCCTTCATCTCCTCCAACAGACCACTGCTTATCCCATGATTTACCAACTGCACGAGCTCATTCAATGTTAAGCAGAAATGGGCTTCATTGTTATAACGTAATGGAGGGTTAGAAGGTATGCATACGGATAACAGATTCAAGGCATTCCAACATTCGGAGTAATAACATGCATACTGGTGGTGATCATATTCATACCTGGAAAAAGCCCCAATCTTTGCAGGCGGAGTGGAGCTTGGCGAGTTCAGAATCCATGGACTCTGGATCGAGCAAGCTCTGGAGGTCAATAACTGGAAGCTGAGGCTGCTGCTGATGGAGTGAAGCAACATCCTGATCATCAAGACGAGCATATCGGGGTGGAACAGTGGCCAAACCCTGTTGCTTCACCAATTCCTGAACGCTAGGGACAAGTAGGGAGCTGCCAATGCTCATTCCAGCAGCAGGTAATTCTGATTCTGAAGCCATGGACTTCTTTGTTTCCTTTTCTATCTAGTTTGATAATGGTGAATGCATTCCATCGCCATTATAAAAAAAAAAAAAAAAATAAATAAATAAAAGAGATAATGGTGGATATACTGTGTCGGACGGTGCATCCAAACCCTCAAAGAGTACTCTGTCAAGTTGAGAATACATCAAAGTTGGAATTCCTGACATCTGCTAGCTGATACATTTGCTTCTAAGAGAGGCCACACACGTGTTAGAGCCATGACATCGTGTGCGACAGATTTCTATTTATTATCGAAGTTATAAAAAAAAAACTGACAAATGTGGATAAAATTTCGTTTGGAACCCGTAACAACAAGAAAGGGCGCGTTATCTTTAATCTTAATCTTAATTTATGAAAGCATTTTCAGTTCTTAACTCATGCATGTCAACACATACGTCCATTATACACAACGTAAATTGGACTTTGCAATTTATTTATGGTTTTGGCTATAGTATCATGTCTCAAATTTTAGTTAATTAATGATCTAAATAACTTTAGCCTATAGTATCATGTCAAAATATTTTCTTTTGATCATTTGGAAGAAGTGTATTCTATAGATTTATCTATATAAGATAACTTCGGAAATTCCTGTGCATATTTAATTAAATTAGGCATCCAATCAAATGGATGGATTTTATTCCGGCACAGGACAACCCACCCAGTATCGACCTGGCAAAGAACAAGCTGCAAGCGAACCCAAATCAATGCTTTCGTAGACCGTTTTCCACACACATCAGATTCTCAAGGTATCGAGGTATGCCTTCCCCTGAATCTCACGAGAGAAGAATCCCCTAAAGAACTCCTTAACGCTCACATTCCTGAACAAGGCCGGCCTGTCTCCAGTCACCAAGCTCGGCGCAGGGTAGATCTCCCCATCGAACCTAGGAGAATGGAAGCAAGCAATCGACAGCCTCTCCTTCTCCGAGTTCACCGTCGCCCGATGCTCGATGCTCCGGTACACTCCATTGGTTATCATCTCGAGAATGTCACCGACGTTGACCACAAAATCATTGGGAAGGACCTTGACTGCCACCCATTGCCCGTCTTTCTTGATCTGCAAGCCTTCAACCTCATTCACCTGCAAGAGGATGGTGAGGCCAGTGCCGTCGGAGTGAGGTGTGAAGCCGATGACTTTGTCAGGCTCCGGGCACGGAGGGTAGTAGTTCGTCCGCATTGTCTGCCTTACGTTCCCCGAGAATATGTCCTTCATTTCCTCTGGTTTCATCTGCAGGGCTTTTGCCATATGGTCCAGTACTTGTGCTGCAAGGTTCCTTACCTCGAGCGAGTAGTTCTCCAATGTGTCTCTGTAGAAAGAACCGAAGAATATAGGACACCGATATGTGAGTACTCTAACTCTGAATCACTCGCAAGAAAAAGGGCGAAGGGAACTGATGTATAAGACCTGAACGGAAGGGGCAGCTTTGGGAGCAAGTGCGGCTTTCTGAGGTGGGGAGGCTGAGTGACGAGGAAGAAGACGTCGGCCCAATCGAGCTTCTGCTCCTCAGAGACAACGAATGCCTGCCCGAACCCTTCCATTTCGCCTGGTAATTGCCATAATTTTTGCTTTTCTTCCATTGGTAAGTAGAAGAATTCCTGAACTTGTGTCTTCATGTTCTCCACCAGAGTAGAGCTCACTCCATGGTTTACCAACTGCATCAGAAATACAGAATGCATCAAATTTCCGCCAAGAGCGAAAGTCAAAAGGAATGAAACAAATTCTGCAAACCCAGTTTATATTCCAGAAAGAATCAAGCTCAATCCCCTGTTTCATCCTTTGTTCAGAAGAGAATTCTAAAAAAATTGATCGAAGGAAGTGTGAATGAAAACAGGGGCTTGGTTGAACCTGGAAAAAGCCCCAGTCTTTGCAGGCAGAGTGAAGGACTGCGAGCTCGGAATCCATGGTGGCTTCATCAATCAGCTTCCCCAAATCAACAACCGGAACATCAGCGACGGAAATCGGGTGGTCAACAAGATCAGGGCGTAAGTATCTGGACGGAACAGAGTCGATTTGGGTCTTTATCAGCTCCTGGACAGAAGGCACGAGGAGAGAGTTTCCGAGGCTGCTGGATTTCGGTGACTCCATTCCGCTACTTTCTTTTCTGGTCTGTTTCAAGTTACAGGGGAACGAAAATCCGAAATCCTTCCTTTGGCGAGAAGATGAGAAGTTATAATGGATAACTCAACGAAGAGCAGCTGTGCAAGTCATCATCAGTCTAGAATGTCAACTCTCGACTTTTCGTGCGGCACGGCAGCGAAGACGAATTTTGTATCTGCAGGGGCAGAGGAGCCGTCAAAGATGGAAAATTCATGCGGTGAATTTGACTGTTGAATAACCCGATTGCTATTTTTCTTTGGCAGAATCTGTTTGCCTTCGGTTTCTACTTTCTACCTGCTGCTCATAGTTGCTTTACACATCTTTTAGATAAATCTTTTCCTCAATATTAGGTTTAGAAATAAAATTATATAGAGACGCCTCGTCGATCGGATGATCATATATGACTTATGTGGTTTCCACAATAAAAATAACTTTATTTGTCTTTTGGATATTAAATCTCAAAATTTTCATGTTCTCCACCAAAATAGAGCTCAACCCATGATTTACCAACATCATAATGATGCATCAAATCTCATCGAAACAGCTCGAGACTCTGGACCTCGACACGAGATGAGAAGGGATAATTTCTGCGCGCTTACCTCAGTAAGCAGCTGCCAAAACTTCAGCCATGTCGACAAGGGCTCGTCAGCGTATCTGCTTTCCTATTGGATTAATTACTACCAAGTTGCGTGCAATGATCCTGAAATGCGTACTCTGCCTCTTCTATGATTCTTAGCTGTAGTTTGGCCAGATTGTTACACCCCTCCTGCATGTTGAACAAAGTTATTATAGTTCAAGACGCTTCATGGCAAACGATAAAAAGATCGAGAACAAGGAAAGAAGAAACCACGGGACATGCAAGTGCAACACACATGATCAAGCAAGAACAGGGATGACTTACCAAAAATTCGATGCATGAGCTCTATCTATCATTGCCATCCACGAAATCAGGTCATAAGCATGTTTATCCCATGAAGCCTCACCATCAACGACATCTGCGTGCAAACTAAATGCAGACCATATTACCAAGTGTCTAGTAGAAAGTAAAACTGGAAACCAAAATTAAGCATGGAGCCCTGCCACCGCAAACGAACGCAATAGGAAACATGTGTTTCTCACCGACAGTCACTAGCTTAGAGTGCTCAAGAGACCAGACTTCCTATCCCTTTTGGTTAATTGGGTAGGTGTCGATAGCAGCAGAACCTTTGGTTTGGTCCATACCACGTTTCTAACTGCCCGCTACAGCTAGTAATGCAAGGGGGACGGGACACTCGGTACCAATCTCACAGGGCACACTACCTTTAAAGACAAGTTGATTCTAAACTATCAAGTGAGCAGACCCAAAATAGATTGAAAAATGAATGCAGAAGGGCCTCATTTCTAGTTCGGCTCTCTGGCCTACGTAAATGCTTATATTTCCACATCGAGATTCCTTCATAGATGCATAATTTAACGAACATACACATATTCTACAGTTGAAGAGATTTCACAACAACTGATACATCCTCATCATCTCACATTTGACGTTTAGGTTTGAGTTTCTTACTTATCAGGGACTTGCTTCTCTGTTAAACTCAATAACCATGCACATATTGGCAAACGGAGATGAGCTTCTTCAACACACAACGCAGCCAGAACACTGGAGAATATGATTCTGGGGCTGCTCCAGGCTCTACCAAGCAATTTTCAAGTGCCCATCAGCTCCTTCAGTTTTTCCACACCACTGCAAGCCATAAGACAATTGCAAAGCAAAGATTAGCAACCATAGGTCTTCTGTAATTCTATGCCATCACAAAACAAGCCTGCACCTATGTTAATCAAGTATCACAGAAGACTGTTCAATATCATCTTCTGATCACCTCAGCCATGAAACAGATTACTGAGCAGGACACAGCAAATATTGTCGAAGAAAACAATCTAACTCTCAGAAACAAATAAATATGGAAAACCAACATACCTCCTAGGGAAGGAAGGTATTAGCTCTTCAACCACTTGAACAACTGTAGAACCAGCTGCCTGTTTCTTAGGAGAGATCTTTCCTGCTTAATAATAACACAAGAGAGTGAGAAGCCACATAAGTAAAATATTCTATGCAATCATGACAAGGTTAGGAAATGCTAATTCGAAGCCATTTGGTTGGCCATTGATTATATTAATCTCAGAAAATTGATTTCCAAAGCTTGCACAAGATCTGTCAAATACTCAGCACGTAAGAATCTAAAAGAAGATAGGATGATAAATTCTAGGGACAGTTAAAAGGACCAGCAACAGCCTAACAGAAATTACGCTGGTCCTATATCACACCACGAAGAGACAACTGGAAGCATGACAATCTTGACTAGAAAGATAAAAACCAGGCAACAGAGGTCACCTAAGTAGTCAAGGTTGGCTCAAATACAACACTATAATAGTGACAGCAACTTGCTTCTTTAACAACTAACAGAACCTAGATGCAAATATTCTCAGATTAACTTTTCAAACAAAAAGGAGTACTTGGTCAATACCAGCAAGCAAAATCTCATGTTGGAGCCAGCAGCTCTCCCAAGGTTCCCTAATCTGGGATCCCTGGGAAAGATGACCGAGTTGCCATGTGAAACATTATTTGTCTGTCACTATTTTAATTATAATACGTCATCAATCTCTCATTTTTCTGAAATACTAGACCCTAGATGACTTTTTATGCAGGAGATTTTCCATAAAAGCATAAGTTTCGTCGTTAGACTCTCCCCGCAGGCACAACACGGTGACTGATAGATCCAGTCGACTATACTGCTCCCATGTTTATATGCTTGAGAAGTCATAAGCATATCAAAATTGTTGTATGTAGCCAAAAAAACATTCTGAATATTTGAAAGCTAGAGTTCCGATATCTCACAGATCAATTGATGGCTTCATGTATCATACAACATCTGTACAACATGAATCAACCAGAACTATGGAAGTGGACACAGAGGCATAGACTTTTTTTTTTTTTTTTTGGAGTGAGAGGGAAGGACTTCAATACCTGCATCCTGTTGATATGAATAGTTTCCTCTCAGATATCCATCTGCATAATCTAGATCAAGCCTTTCTTCTAATGTGAACCCCGCTAATAGAGAACCAATGAGATTGTAGGCTACCAAACTTGTCTCATCGGAAGCGTCTTGGACATCAAGGTACAAGTTGTTACCAAGAGTCTGATTGCTAGGGCCAGATTCTTCCCCTCTAGAGCAAAGGTTCAATTCATGAAAACCTGATGCATTTCTTGGACTATTTGCATTACTCTGATAAGGTTCAGCTTTCATATCACATTCGACTCTTAACACCATGCTCAGAGAAGGATTGCCAATCTCGCAATCATCATGTGTACTAGGAAGACTCTCACCTTCCTGGTCGGGATTAGGCTTGTCTAGCTCAACATCCAAAGGCGTATATTCTCCACAGCTCTCTTCATCGTTCTCTGAGTACATAGAACCATATCTGAGACTTGGGGAGTCGAAAGTTTCTTGTTGCTTGGGAGACACATCACTACAATCATCATCTTCACTTCCACATGGCTCTTCCATATATGCATCGCCAAAATTCTCAGCGAGCCCATAGCCAGGAATTAAATCCCAAACAAGCTGCTTTATATCAGAACTTACACTTAAGATAGATTCTGCCTCCTCTTCAATAGCATAGTTCAACAAGTAGCCATCGGGTGAAACTCGAGTGCACCTATTGATAAGATTAAGAGCTTTCGGAAAACCCTTGGGAATGAAGTCTAAATCATTGCAGTCAAACAGATACTCGGTGAATAATTTCTTCATCGCTGTTCGTAAAGACCTTGCTGAGATATTAGCAAATGGATCCAACAACTGTTGCAAGGCTTGAAGCTCTGGCATTCTGACCTTAGTTTCTAGTAACCAAATAGCCTTTATGATTTCTGTCTGTAACAGTTCTATTTCTGGCGAAAATTTCATGAAGTCAGTCATGCAGGAACCAGGACATCTTTTCAGCTTTAGTGATAAACCTGCAACCGCTAGGGCCTTGGCTAAAGGTTCCTGGAAGCTATGACTCCCACTCCCAACAAGTTCCGATAGCATCTTCCTAATAGTTCTCTTAACCTTACAAATCAGGGTATCTCGACTCCAACCATGTTTCGTTTTCCGTAAACTAGGTAATTCTGCCGGCATCCCTCTTAGTTTTCTGCGCATAGCAAACAGGGCTTCAGTTGGCAAGTCCTTCAGTCTATCCAGAATTTGTATTGCAGCAGCATTCCATTGAAAGAGATGTGAACAGTGGTCATGTCTAATATTCTCTCGGTCAGTGAGAAGCTGAGATAACTTGGTAAAAGTTTCTACTTTGTCATCCTTGCTATCCAGACTCCTAAGAAATCCTGGAATAGATTTCTGGATAACCTTTCTCATTTTATTCCGAGTCTTTTCACACTTCAGCTCACCTTTTGTAAGGAACATAGCAACAACGTAAAGACCTTTACTGGTCAAAGAATCCAGGCAAGACAACAAGATGCCTTCAATGTTGTTCACGTTGAGAAACTGACTAGTTGTTTTGACCTCTCTTTCAACATGGTATGCTCCATATGCTTGTTCAACAAACGTTTTAACATTATCATAAAATATCTGTGCAAGAGAAATGAAAATTGTCAACCATGGCGTACCTGTTTACGAATCTACCAAAGCAATAGGAATAAAAACCATGACTGACATATAAGCAACCCTTATATCCCCATCATTCATGATCATTTAATTGGTCGAGACTCATAGGAAGCAGAATATGTTACAGTCGGTTGCATTTCACCTTTTAAGAACTCTTGCAAACTAGTCACTTGTGTGAGCACAAGGAACCGAGTTATTTCGTCATCAAACCTACATAATCTAAATGCAAATTGGCATCCTGGTGACCTGGGATACTTTAAGCACCTTATGTGATAACTACGCACGGAAAAATCAAGAAGGTTGAAATCTATGCAATTATAAGGGATAGGCTTTCAAGTTTAATGCATGATTGGTAAGACACACCAGTTATAGACTTCCAGATCAGATAAAACAGTCATAGCGGTGAAAGCTTGTGAAACTACATTTTTAATAGTAGAAGCATACATTGTTAAAGAGAATAACTTACATCATCTTCTCTAAGCAAAGACTCAGGCAGGCACCTGGAAAGATCACAAGAACGACTGTTCAGTAAACACAGCATCATGTACGAAACCAGGGTATAAGCAAAAATAACTTACTCGTTGTTCAAAAGTCTCTTCAGTTTGAGGTCTGACAATGGCGCTCCTATTAGCCACCTGCACAAAAAGCATCACATGGTGAATACGAGAATGACTAATTCCTTCAAAATAACTTGTGAAGCAACAAACGCCATAGAAACTACTGGTGATGAAAGCTAAGGATCTAAAATTATTGGTCCTGCTTCTACATTATCCAATAGACAAAAGGAGGCAGCTCTCCAAAACAAGGAACGATTTCAATGAAAAAAATAAAAACTTTCTAAGACTTCCCAAAAGCTTCTTAGGTTCAATACCCACAGTTCAATGCTTCAATCAATAGAGAGATAGAACAGAAGAAGAAGAAGAAGCAAAATGCAAGAAGGCGAACAGAAAAAGAAAGCAATAAGCCCACCTTCGCTTGAGTTTCAGCAGTCTGTCCTTTCGCTTAAGTTCTGCGACGATCAATTGGGAATCAGTGCGGAGAAAGCTATCCGCCATACTGGTTGAATCGCCAAGAACAGAGAAGCGACTCTAAAACTGGCGTCCCCTAAAGATGGCGGGGGAGACGGGAAAAGGGTTTAAGAGTGGAAGGGGATCGGCGCGGAACTGAGGTAGGCCACTAGGGGTTAGTTAAATGAAAGTTTACCTTTTGGTACTTTATTTATGTATAATACCCCTATTTTGTCCAAGTTTGCGTAAAAAACATAACTTTCAAAGTATTTCCTGCAACAAGAGTGAAAGTAGGAAGGACATACTGAGATTCGAACCATGATCAATTTAAAGAAAAACAATGATCATAACCAATCACACTAAATACATTTGCTATATATTTCTAAATTAAAAACATATAATAGCAGGGAGGGAAAAACTCTTCCCCCATTTCAAATTTCCTGCTACAGGAGCGTTTCCATTTCAAATTTCCTGCTCCAGGAGCGTTTGTAGGAAGGGTAGAATAGGGAGTGTCAATTTTTTTCTCTTTCCTATGTGGAACGGGCCAACTTACCGTACACATGCGGATTTGAACGGGTCCAGGAGTGTCAATTTTTTTCTTTAAGCCCTTTTATTTCTCCGTGGTGATAAAATATATATGAAAAGGCAAAAATAATACTTCTTTTTATTGCTAAAAATAAAAAATTTAACAATAAACTAATGCATGGCATCTAATGGGCTAACCGCTAACCATAAAATAAAAGAGTTGAATGGGCCCGACCTACACGAGATTTGGCCATCAAGTAAAACAAATGAACATCATTGGTTTGACATTCTAAAACAAGCTATTTTCTCTAGTATAATATATATTATGCTATTATTTTATATCATAGTGGCTAAAATATAATGTATTTTAAAGTTATTCAATGTTTCAACCTCGACCAACCAATTAGTCCCATTTTTATAATTTCAAATATATATTATATAATTATTTGATATCATAATGATCAAATTATAGTGTATTTTATAGGGAATCGTTTGATATTTGTTAGTAAAAACTAAACAGAAAGATCTATTTGGTTATTTTAAACATTAAAATGATCCTACATATTTTCAGTTCCTTTTGAATTTCTATGGTTTTATTCCTGAATAAGTGATGTGCAAATGGCGAATTACAGTAATCTCTTTTCTTTCACTATTTTTTATTTTCAAATAGAAAGTTTAAAAGTAAAGAATAATTAGAATTTGGCATGGGTCGGTCAAACAGGCTGAGTTTCAAGTTTTGACCCGTTTTGATCAAGTCTAATTTATAATCACATGGTTCCCTGATACCCGATAAAAATCTCAATCCAAACCAGTTTGGCAGGTGAGTCCGTGTTTACCACCATTTTCTAGGGATACGACAACGGCGGTTCCTATCCCAAATCGTGTTGTTCGTTCTTGATTTCCTTAGATTTTATCATGGCCTGACAAAAACCAGAAAGCACAATGACGACAAGATGAAATTTTTATAAAGCAAATTAATCGGCCAACCGGCCGAGTAAAAGTTAGCAACGATTGTGAGATGCTCATTTCCCGAAAACCGACGGATAGATGATTTTTAATCGATTTTCTGGAATTCGGTTTCTATAAAACTTACACCACCTCATCATATTATCAGAAACAATATTGTTTCACAAGGTAACATGTACTTGATTTTGGTTCATAAGGCCGATTTTTGATTCGTTGCATCATTCATGTCTCTTTCCTGCTAAAATTCACTATTTTTATCACGTGTTTCCCAAAAAAAACTATACAACAATAAACTATACACCCCCATTATATTATCTAAACCTATTGAAATACTAAAAAGTAACTAAATGTTAACTTTCAGTTAGCAATTTTGTTAGTAATATTGACTTGGCAACATGATACTCACTTGGTAGAGACACATGAAAGCCAACATTGCAAAATTTAGTATTTTAACTAAGAAAAGAGTTACAAAATTATTAACGATAACGTAAAATGACTAATATTTTGATGCATTACAAAAGATTTGGCTAATTAATAGCATTTTAATAGGTTTGGATAATATAAAAGCATCTGAAAAAGGTTTGGATAAAAAATAGACATTACTCTACTATTATTACAAACTTTTGAAGAAAATGAATAGATTTCACTTTCCTAATTGATAGTAAATTTTTTGTGTGTGGAATGCAGAGCGCATAGGGGGCGCTCTAACCCTTATATAATAACTGAACGAGGGGTTTGGACCCCCAATAAATCAAAGTACAACCAATGGCTTAACGTCTAACTGGGGGTTCTCAAACACGTGAACCCCAACGACTAAGCTATGTCCAACTGAAGCGAGATAATCTGCAACAACATTGCCCTCTCTAAACACATGGCCTATCTGAACCTCCCATTCCCTCGCTAAGAGCTTTCGAATCATGGCCACCTGAACGAAGTGAATATGGCATGGCGTTGCTTCCTGTATAAGTTGAACTGCGATGGCTCAATCCGTCTGTACCCTCACATTTTGGCATCCCTCATCCCAAGCTAAGCGGAGGCCAAAAGCAATCCCTGCAAGTTCAGCATAAGTAATGGAACCCGTACCCAAAATTGGTTGAGAAAGGCCTTCACAAAGCGACCCTCTTTGTCTCTAATCACACACCCCACCGCCGTACCTCCCTGACCTCCCACCACCGAGCCATCAGTGTTGAGGTAGAACCAACTGCTTGCCGGCCGTTGCCAGCTGATCAACCTTGTGCTTCGCTTAGGTGGCCCCACCATAACTCGGTTGTTCGCCGTTTGGGCCAACTCCATTTGCCGCCGTAGGATTACAACCTGAGGAGTGATCTGCTGCGCTGAGGCAAGGTGTTTCTCAAACACCCAGCTATTCCTGTTCTTCCATAAACTCCAGCAGGTAAGCGCAAAGAGTGAGGGGTCAAGAATCTTACTTCTACCGGACAGATAGTGCATTGCCCATCGATCCATAGGCAAACCAAATAACGTTCCATCCGGCTCGTCCAAGAGGATCTCATACCAGACTGACCTCGCATACGGGCATTCTCTAACAACATGGATCGTCGTTTCCGGACCTCCTCCACACATCGGGCAAGCATCGGACTGGGCTAAGTGGCGACGACACAGTTCAGCGTTCGTGAGCAATCTATTATGAATAGGGGTGTTCAAATGGTTACTATGGTTATAACCAAACCTAATAAGGCTAAATTCCATTAACCATGGAATACAATATCATAACCAAACCGTCCAAACTAATACAACAACCAAATTAACCAAACTAAAGTTTAATCGGTTTGGTTAATTGGTTAACCAGATTAACCAATATAAAATCACATTATCATTGACGATGAAAATTTTCCGGTTAATGCAACAATTCACAATTTATATAATGAATAAAACATAACAATCAACATGTAGTTATAGTTGACCCTTAACAAAAATACATGCAACTAAGACAATTATCTTACGATTAGTATAGAAGTATTCACCTAACAAAAATTTATGACAATGGTATGGGTTAATGAATTGTTGTGTTTGTGTAAATTGACTTAGTCTCTTAGCAATTATCATAGGCTGGAAATGACCTTCCTTTCAAGTTTTCATCCATCATGATGTATGCAATTTATCTAAATTAGGCGTCCATATGTTGTGGTCTACATTTTACATATACAAATATACACTATATGAGCAATATTGAGCTTTATATTTTATGAGTCTAAAAGGGATGAACGTTAACTCTTGAGTGGTTATGCAAAGTATTAAGTATGTGTATATAATATATGTTAGATATATGACTAATTACTTAACTGGTTAATTTGGTTTGACTGGTTAGGAGTGCCTGAAACCAAACCAAACCACCTAAACCAAACAAGCTAAAAACTTTAACCAAACCAATTATCCAAATTAACCAAACCAAATTATCCAAATAGTACTGGTTAAAACGGTTACCATGGTAACCAAACCGTTTGAACACCCCTAATTATGAAGCACCAGCCAAAAGAACAGCCTTAGCCTCTGTGGACCTTCAATCTTCCAAACAGCCCGCCACACAGCCTGATGATGATTCTCGTTGTCCCCATCTTCCCTTAACCCATACGCGGTGGCCACTGTGAATCGTCCAGTAGCGGAGAGTCTCCAACAGGGAATGTCTGGTTCCACTTCATGTGGTATCGGATGTAATTGGAGTTGTAGGAAAATCGCTTCCGGCATAAATACTCGTGCATAGTCAAGATTTCAGCTGCCATTTAGAACCATCTCAGCAACTGAGATATTTGATGCTTCTGGGGGTAGGTTTTGGGCAATGTCAATAAGTGGAGGACCATCATGCAGCCAAACATCCTCCCAAAACCGAGTGCCCATACTATTCCGCACATTCCACATAATCCCCTTAGGAAGTAAGTGAAGAACTCGCAAGACTCCCCTCCAAAGATTAGATAATCTACCCGTCGTCCGTGGAATCCAACCCTCGGCTGTGCCACGAAGGTACTTGGCATTGATCACGCGACCCCAAAGGATCTCCGGCTCAGTCAATAGCCTCCAGGCGATCTTCAACATAAATGCTTCATTCATTCGGGTGGCGTTCCGTAAACCCAGCCCCCATCCGCCTTCGATCTACACATAGTATCCCAATCTACAAGATGAATCTTCCTCCCCTGTTCGGAGCTCCCCCAGATAAATCCCCGGATCTTTTTATCTATGTAATCTCGTATAGCCGCCGGGAGAAAAGAGGTCTACATTGTGTATGCTGGTAGAGCTCCCAGGACCGACTGAACTAAGGTGATCCGTGCCACTAGGGAAAGGGTTGCCACCTTCCAACTAGCCAATCTCGCACCAATTTTTCCGATCAAGTCCACAAAAGTCGCCTTAGAAACCCGGTCATGGATAACCGGAACTCCCCGATAGCGGCTGAGGTTAGAGTTCCGCGGGATACTGAGAGCCTCGCTCAAACTCCTACAAACTGGACCGGTGACATTCTGTGAGAAGAAGACCCTAGATTTGGGCTTGCTGACTTGCTGCCCATACGCCATGCTAAAGTCTGCTAGACACTGCGAAATAGTCTGAACCTTCTCAAGAGAAGCAACACCAAATAAGATGAGGTCATCAGTAAAGAACAAATGGGATAGA